AAACTAAGGATCCTAACAACCCTTCTTCTTTTATAGGCTACTAGTTGCCAAGGTTAGTCTGGTAAACAACGGTACCAGAATCTTTTTTGATTGGCCGAGTGGTTCACCAACATAGCCAGGCTGGTTGCTAGCCAAGATGTATAATTCTAAATACCTTAGATACTGGTTACTCGGTTTCTAAGCGTTGCTAGAATCCCTCGGAAGTCATAGTAACCTCGCGCTGCGCGCTCGGTTACTATACACTTCCTCGGGATTCTATCAACGCTTAGAAACCTCGTAACCAGTATCTAACCTATATATAGATATTCCATTTTTGTGCTCAACTGGACTTGTAAAGTGTCCACAGTATCCAAGCACAGCATCATTTAGCATAAACTCTGTCCACATGTCGGAAAAGTCCGGATGCAATACAGTACACTGTATAGTCTGAGGGTCAGTGTTCTGGTGACGAGCATAAGGATCATCTAAAATGATATTTTGCACACAGTGATTATTATTAAATAATTTGTGGTCTGTCATTTAATTATAATTATATACAATTTAACTTTGCAAAGCAGTAATAGATTTTTAGTTAACAAATGCTTGCTTACATCTCATTACCTTAAATTCCATTTTGCTAAGTTCACAAAAAATTATGAAGTAAAAGTCACACAAATATTTCCAGCTATACATGTACTTGTATATGGCTATAGCTTAATTCACTCTTAATTTCAGTGATAAGTAAACTTTTTCTATAATTTGTATAATTGGGCTAATGCATGTACATGTGTTTGTGAACATGCGTAGCTAACCAATGACTTTCACTGTTATTTCATGATTCAGCACAGCTTCTACCTTGCAGCAGTTTGAATCATTAATCAAACGTGATATGGAAATTATGTGTTGACCACTCCCAACATCCCCAAGAATAGTTATCTAAAAAAGTCATGTCACTTATCATTATTTATTTTAGCTATTATTGGATATCAGTTCTAATGAGTTTAATGAGTTTGATACTAGCATACCTTTACTGTTGTGTTGTCTTTATCAAGGAACTCAGTCTCCAGTCCTGTCCCTTTCATAAATGCATAAAGCTTCTTTTCGCTGTTAGTATCTGTGCAATTTGTAGTAATATTTGGTAGCTTGTCAACTATCAGTGAGTATCCATTGTTATCCTTTATTTGGCTCCTAGATACAAGCAGTAAAGATGAACTAGAGCAAGTGGAGTTTTTCCCATCCTCCAAGACACACAATGAGAGAGATTGTACTACCAAGAGAAGAAGACATGATCCAAGGAGAAGAGCTGACTCTGTCATCTTGTCTAAGTAATGCCAGTGTAAGCTTTATTTCTTATCACACTATATGCATATACAGTTTTGATAGCACAATGAAAGTGAAACAAGTCATTCAACCCAGTTCAAAATGACTGCCATGACTTTTGGAGTCTTAGATGTATTTAGAAGCATAGTTGAGAAAGATATTTTTACTATTAAATGAACCTTATGCTTTAAAATATTGCTGGAAGTAAAAAGAAACTTGTTGCAATTTTTTTTATTCTGCAATAACACTCAGTTTGTCTTGCTCTAGTGTTAGTAGAGTATTCACATGACTATCTGATCTATAGTACTACTCTTTATATGCTGTAATACTTTTGGCCTCACCCAGCTTTGCGTAGGTGAGGACTAGTTTAATACTAACTCATGCATTAGGAAACTGTAAGTTGTCCCCATTGTACTTGTAACTCTTAATACATGTAGGTAGGTACCAAAAATACATATATAAGCTTATTGAAACAGATGAACCTTCGTAAAATAACACTAACTCGTAAATAATCAGGTGATACACTTATTCTCATCACAATCCTTTTTCATCTGGAGTCAATCTATTATAAATATCTTTGACAATAGTGATCTACTGTAACTATCTAATATGTACACCACTTGCCTTATGGTGTCAAGTAAATAAATGCTCTTTGTACTTATTTTGTTGGAAATTACATTGAAAATGGAAGAAATCTTTCTGCCACACTTTAAACTATGGTGTCTGATGGGATTGACATGACATACCAAGCATAATACGCTATACACTATAGGCACAAAGACAAAACAGCAAATGTGTTTGTCAGGCAAAATCAGACAATCTCTGGACATGTATAAACACTGACAATGAATTGTTATTTTGAATTCATGCATTCTCAGATATTGAGATTGAATGGTTCCCATTGTCTTTACTGTACCAGAGCCTCATACTGAATAATGAATTGTTAAGTGTGATTGGAACATTGACTATTTCAATTATGAAATACTTTTATTATGCATAAAAATGTGTTTGTATGTAACATGCCACAACAATCTAAAGCAGTGTAATAACAATGATGTTAATATCTAAGTAGGTCTAGCTACACCATAAGCTGGGTTTACAGTTTCAATTATGGGTTTTAAGTAGGTAGGGTTCTCTTGTGCTGAGCCTTTGGATCGACTAATCTCAGAGAGGAAGTTCTTGTACTCACGATGATCTTTGTACACAAAGATCAATTTAATCACAATCACAATCAATGCACCAGTAAGTAAAATACTTATGACTATTATAATAGCAATGGCCCATATAGGTATTGGAAGGCATTCTTCAGGCTCCACTTGATATATTATCATGCTGGAATTGACAGCAGAGAGAGCTACATAGTATGTATACTTGCATTCTACTGTACTAATGGAACAATCACTAGCTGACCCATCAATAGTATCAGGTATGGTGTACTGAGAGGCTGATAGTGTGAAATATCCTAAACATGATAAATCCGAGCATGAAGTGTTATCATTTTTAGATGCTTTTGCAAAGCATTTGACGCATTCTTCATTAGCAGTACATGATAGCTGGTTACCAGTGTATAGGCTACAATATTGACCAATAAAATCAGCATCACATTCACAGCTACCTTGACATGGATCACAGTCTCCTCTGCCATTACACAAGACTGATGTACTTGAATCTAGATCTATATCAATACAATTATCATACGAGCATTGACAATAGTCCCCACTGTAATAGAAACCTGAAACAGGTGATATATCGCACTGACAAGCATATGTACCATTAGAACAAGTACACGTACCATGCCCACTGCATACAAAACCAGAGTCATCATCACATTCATAGTTACTGCATTCACAAGCATCTCCTTCAATACGTGGTGTAACTACTCCTGGTACTCTATTGGTTGGTTGCTTACACACACACTGACCACATACACACTGACCCCTACTCTCACCACTGCACTCTTGATTATTAGGACCTAATGGACACACTGCTGATGTAGAGCAGTTACAGGAGGGCCCACTCCAGCCACTATTGCACTCACAGAGACCACAGGAGAGTGCTCCATTGTTGCTGCATAGTGGGCTTGAAGGAACTGCTGCATTTTCACATTCACAGGCACAATGGCCACCTATTTCAACGTCAAAAGAATCAAATCCAGGAACGTTGACAGTAATTGTTTCTGTTTTTCCATTTTGGAATTTTTCTGGGCAAGAGTTCAAAGTAAAAGAAATTGAGAAGTCAGCTGTACCTGATCCAATGCTGGAACACTTGTGTTTTTCTGGTAAGTAGGTTGAGTTTGGAGGGCAATTAGCTTTAATCTTAACAGAAATATAATCTGGAAGGACGAAGGTTAGTTGAGCTGTTGATACGACATTAGAATAAGCTTCTTGAAGAACCTCTCGTAAGTTTGCAGAGTCTTCACTAAGACTTAAACTAAAACCATCAAGTAGGCCACTAATGTTTCTATAATAAGCCAAGAAACTACTATCAGCTACAGCAAAT